CCAAATAACAATTACCCAAACCCCCTACATTTGAGAATTTAGATAAAATACCCTAGTCACAAAAAAAAAAAATTTAAAGTTAACAAAATAGTCTTAGCCACCCAAGACCACTACCAGCCACTAGCCACCACCGTTGGCCGCCGAAGAAAGTCATCATATCAGCTCAAGACCGATAGAATCTTGCCAATCATGTGCCGGTAAGGACGTTTCCGGCCATAGATCTGTGATCCATGGCCAGAAACGACTATACCTGGTTGTTTCACGGCCAAAGATGTGGTCGTGAAACGCCATAGATCTAGCCGTAAAAAGGCCAGATCTTTGGCCGTGAAATGGTTGCTGTTTCACGGCCACATCTTTGGCTGTGAAACAACCATATTCACGGCCAGATCTAGCCATTTTTGGCCATGGATCAAAGATTCATGGCCAGATTAGGCCTTATCGGCGCACGACAAGCCAGATCCGACCGGTAGTATGCCATTACAATGGTTGTCGGCGGTGGTGGCTAGCTGCCAGTAGTGTGTTGGGATGAGTGGGGTGATTTTGCTACAAATAAAGTTTTATATGGCTAGGGTGTTTGAGCAAAATTTCAAATATGGGGGGTTAAAAATAATTAAAAAATAATAATAAAAATAATAGTATATTATTATTTAAAAAGGAGGGCAATTTGTAATCTACATAACATACCCACTAATTTATCCTCAACCAAACATATTATTAACATGTCACCAATTTATTTCACCAATCAAACACTTTCTCTAAAGATTCCCTAGTAATCTATCTTCCTCCCTGAACCAAACACACCCATAATTAATAAAACATTATATGATCTAAACGGCCTCATATTGATACAATTCCAGGTAAAAATCTCATTATCAAAGCATTACTTAACAGATAAAAAAAGTTGCAAATTATATGTTTTATTACTTTGTTTGGATTGAACAAGTCAAGCCATGATGAGCTCCAAATTATGTAAATTCATTATATTTGTCAAGGAACAATAATATACTATTTTTGAAATAAAAGGTTAAAATAAAATTAAATAGAAAATTTTGGATAGGTAGTTATGACCATATAACTTAACAGATTAGCAAACTTGTATTTTCCTAATAATTTTTTCCTATAAATTGTCGGAAATGATGAGATCTGATCATTTCACGGCTAAAGATGTAATTGTGAAACGGCTAATCTTCGACCGTGAAATGGCCGGCATTTCGACTAAAGACTTGACCATTTCACAACCAGATCTGTGGCACCGCTAACGTCAGACCAAATCTATGGCACTACCCTCGGCCACTGGTGGTGGTGGCTGGCTGCCAGCAGTGGCTTGGGGTGTATGGGTGTTTTTGTTAAGTTTAAAACTTTTTGGTTGCTATGGTGTTTTTGCTAAATTGAAAAGTAGGGGGTTAAAAAATTATTAAAAATAATAATAAAAAAAATTTATTATATTAATATTTAAAAAGAGGGCATTTAGTATCTATATACATATCCACTCATTTACTCACAACCAACATTATTCACCAATTTATTGAACCAACCAAACACATTTTCTAAATATTCCTAGTAATCTTTAAGGTGATCTTTCTTTTCGTTATATAATATCCCTCTATGTTGCTTTGGTTCGAGGTGATATAAGATTAATCTTGTAATCTTTGTTTAATTTTCAAGATTCTCTCGTTTGATTGCAGCAATAAAATATTACGTAAATCTTTTATTGCAAATATGTTATTGTTGGTAATATTAAGAGCAATCAAATTACCTTCCCAAGGGTGTTAATATAAGATTATCGAGGTAATCTTAATTTTGACTCTATTTTGCCTTAACTTTTATCATTTCGGACTCATTTGCCATCATATGTCTACCAAAACAATTACCCAAACCCCTACATTTGAGAATTTAAAAAACCACCCGCCACAAAAATTTAAAAGTTAACAATAGTCCTAGCCACCAAGACCACCGCCAGCTCTAGCCACCACCACTGGCCGCCAGAGAAAGCATCATATCGGCTCAAGACCGATGGAATCTTGCGTCATGTGCCGGTAAGGACTTTCCGGCCATGGATTTGTGATCCATGGCCAGAAACGACTATATCTGGTTGTTTCATGCCAAAGATGTGGTCTGAAACGCATAGATCTAGACGTAAAAAGGCCAGATCTTTGGCCGTGAAATGGTCGCTGTTTCATGGCCACATCTTTGGTGTGAAAGACCATATTACGGCCAGATCTAGCCATTTTTGCCATGGATCAAGATTCATGGCCAGATTAGGCCTTATCGGCGCACAACAAGCCAGATCCACCGGTAGTATGCCATTACATGGCTGTGGCTGTGGTGCTAGCTGCCAGTAGTGGTTTGGGATGAGTGAGGGTGATTTTCTACAAAAAGTTTTATTGGCTGAGGTGTTTGAGCAAAATTTCAAATAAGGGGTTTAAAGAAATATTTAAAAAATAAATTTATTATTATTTAAAAGGAGGCAATTTAGTAATCTACATAACATACCCACTATTTATCCTTCCAACAAACATATTATTATACATAGTCACCATTTATTCCAACCAACCAAACACATTTCTCTAAAGATTCCCTAGTAATCTACTTTCCATAAACACTTCCCTTAACCAAACACACCCTATAATTAATAAAACATTATATGATCTAACGCCCATATTGATACAATTCCAGGTAAAAATCTCATTATCAAGCATTACTTAAATTACAGATAAAAAAAAGTTGCAAATTATGTTTTATTACTTTGTTTGGATTAACAAGTCAAGCCAATGATGAGCTCCAAATTTATGTAAAATTCATTATATTTGTCAAGGAACAATAATATACTATTTTTTGAAATCAAAGGTTAAACAAAATTAAATAGAAAATTTTGGATAGGTAGTTATAACCATATAACTAATTAAGATTAACAAACATGTATTTTCCTAATAATTTTTTCCTATAAATTAAGACCTAGAAACTTAGTTTTCTTCACATTAATTGTCAATTATTAATCCCCTCTTCCAGATAGATACCCCACGGCAAAATCTAACATGACGAGGTTGAAGGCAGTTCATTTTGCACTTGTTTCATTGTCTTTGCAGCAATCTTTCCTCTTCATCTGTAAGCACAATGCTTCTCCTGCTTCAATGTTTTAAATATTGGTTCAAATAAATCCTACAAATTTTATTTTTTTCATTTGGTTTTTGATTAATCAGTTATGTTCAAGGAACTTGTGAGCAAACAACGTATCAAGGTTTAGAAATGTGGTGTGCACAGCAAATGCCCGTTCTGTAGGATGCTTTCCCTCACAAAAGAATTGTTTATCTTTGCCGTGGGGCAACCTCAGCCCCCAAAGGAGCCCCAAGTCTAGCCCCCTTCCATTTCCACCCCGCAGCAATCCCCCAGAGCACTATTAATCGGGCTGTCATGGATACATATTTGTTACTTTCCAAAATCCTTGAGCTTGTTTGATGCTTTTTCTTGAAGCACGACATGGTTTTTGTAATTCTCACATGAAAATGGAAGGTCTATATAACCTATAGTTCTTGGATAACCAACCCTCTTTCTTTTGGATCATACTATAGTATTCATAATGTTACTGGTTTATATTACATTCAATCCTGTTGTTAATGTATGTATGCATTTACACAATGTATTGAAATCGACAAAATTTAAGGAATAATAATAATAACAATTTCCTTTATGAAATTATGATCGTACGGTGTTTATATATTTATTTTAATTACGATGATTATAGTTTAAAATTTAATATTACTCAACACTCTCGAATCACATATCATAGGCTTTCAAGGTTAGTTGTTGATGACTAATTAAACAATATTTGATTCACCTCCTTTGAAGGAAATTTTCTTACGCTAAAAACCTTAGGAGGATTTTTATGTTTGACTGATTATTTTATCTACCCTAACTTATATTGATATAGTTGTGAGCTAATTTTGTTGACATGCCTTGACAAGGATTAAAAATATACTAAATTTAGAATTAAATGTTGAAATTTATAGAAAATTTAGGATAGTTTATGACAATGTAATTGATTAAGCAATTAAGAAAGTTGTCTTTCCCTAATAATTTTTGTTGTAAATAAAAACCTAAAAACTTTAATTTCTTATCTGTAATTGTCAATTCCATCTCTGGATAGATAGATAGATATCTATGGCAAAAACTAACATGAAGAAGTGCTTGAAGGCAGCCCATTTGGCTCTTGTTTTCATTGTCTTCGGAACAATCTTGCCTCTTCATGAATGTAAGTTTAACTCCTTTTTTTTGCTCATCTTTTAGAAAGCATTATCACATTTCCGTTCCGTAAGATGCTTCCCCTCACAAAAACATTGTCTATCCAGCTGTCGTGGGGTGTCCTCAACCCGCAAAAAGAGCCCACAGTCTAGCTCCTCTTCCAAATCCACCCCACAGCAACCTGCCAAATGAGCAATAATCCAGCTGTCGTGTGTGTATTTTTTACTTTCTGAAACCCTTGAGTTCGTTTGATGCCTTTCCCGAATCTTAAAGAGGTTTAGTTTTCTTATTCTCCCGGAAAAATGGAGGGCAATATTTCTACCATCGCCCTCTTTCGCCTCAAAATTCTGTGGATCATATTATAGTACCAGTGATGTTATCGATACCACCACAATATTGTATAACTATGTTTTAATTCCTTAATTAGTTATAAAGATTTGTTTAACTCTTTTATTATTTATAAAGATTTGTTTTACTCCTTCGATTATTTATAAATGTTTGTTTCACATTGTTAATTTTTTTCTGGGAAAATTTATTAATTGAGTATGGAGGGAATTTCTGCCTGGAAAATTTCATTACAGTTCTAACTTCCAGAATCAACATTATAACCAACAAACAGAGCTCAATCCCAAATCCTGCTTATTTTTGTGTGCAAATGAGCCTGTCAGGTTCAACATAAAGCAGAACTAACATATAAAATATTCAGCTGATGAAATAATGAAAAGAGATCTCTAAGAGTTTATGGTGGTGAGGTTCTGAAACTACCAGGAATATTCAGCAGGCAAGGAACACTTAATCCTGACCTGACCTTGAGATCCTGACAGGACTCCAAGGTTTGACATCTTAACCATGGCCCTGGCAAAGTCAATTCTGAAGATTGTTCCATCGCCTGATGCGTAATACTTTACATGGGTTGCAGTTTTCTCATCAGCCATCAATTGCTGATCAGCAAAGAGTAGTCCTCTCCCTCTCAGCAAGCTCCGAAAATAGTGTGTGTCAAAATCTGAGCCGGATGAAATTGCAGAATCATTAAGGCTGCTGCTGCCGTGGTTGGCCTGGCAATTCAGTCTCAGTTCATTCAGAAAATCGGCAGCAATAGTTCGATCTGGTTGACCTGTCCCCATAAAGTTGTAGAGGCGGTCTTGAATGAACTGACAGCTAATTTTTCCGATGTTGTGGGCCCCTACAGATAGCAATAGCAAAGTAAAAAATTTACTTCAAGCAATGACGTTTATGACAGACGAGATAAATGGAAAAACTTAAAAGAGTGTGTACCTAAAAGACTGACTGTTTCTCTTTCATTGAAGCCTCTGAGAGAGAACAGGTGAAGTGTCCGGGAAAGATTGCCATCTGGTTTTGGGATCTCATCCATAGCTTCCTGAAAGTATGATTCACTACTGTCTCTCCTGCCTGTAAACACTGGATAGTATGGACCACCTTGCTGTGATTTTTAGATACAAACAAACACATCAGGGAGCTGAAATATAAGAATAAATATTACCACATTTGATCAGTTATATATTTATGATTGTGAAGAAAGAAATCGAAATTTCAAAACACAATCTAGCCATGATAAGCTTGGTTCAGTCAGTTCTAGCAAGAAGACAAAGCAGTAGATTAATCTAATTTCTTCTCTACAACAAAACCATGCAGAAAGGCAAATCATGCAAACCTAAACTTAACTATAGCCAAAATCCTGTGGCCTGAAAACTTATCAAATCAACAAAGTAAGAGCTGAGCATTGAATTATACCAGAATAATGCCATCTCTTGTGGCAAGTGCTAGCGTGTCAGCACAAGAAACCACCCCTGGACAAGCCCTTTCAAGCTCTGCCTTAATCAGATCAATTTTATCAAAACCTTTCAGGGTGCTATGGGGAGCCGCCCGCCTCTCAATGGAATGGTTCGTATTGCCATTGCTGTCATCCAAGAACAATGAAGCATCACAGCCCTGGTTCAAGAAAACCCCTCAAAATTAAGAACAATTTCCTTATCTAAAAGCTCAATAGCAAGCTACAAAGTGTAGAATCAACTGATCACAAACCAAGGCATAACAAAAAACTTATAATTACCATATGGGGATCAGAACTTATATTACAATCACAACAACCACAAAATGAAAGAAAGAAGTGCAATAAACCACATCAAGTACTAAATTCACAAACTTACAATCTAAGCCAAAACAAACATCATACCAAGATTGAATCAAACAGTCATTAGGAGGACAGATAAACAAAAAGGCACCAATAATCCAAGAAAATCCACAGAATATCAAGAACTTAAGAGATTGAAAACCTAAAGCAATTAAATTAATGCTAAGTAGAAGCAAATTTACTAACAGAATCACATTGCAACAAAACACACAAGATCAAGAGAAGTACAGGAAATAAAAAAAACACATTTGAGATAAGGTCAAAATGAAGCAAGAATGAAGAAAAGAAGCAGCAAAAAGCATCGATATACCCTGATGAAACAGTCGTGAAAAAAGAGGCGCAAGAGAGCCGCAGAGACATCTTTCTGCTCACAATAAAGCTTGGACATCATTGACCTCACAATCTTCTCAGCATCAGGACACGAGTCTCTGTAATGGTCATACTCTAGGCCAGGATTTGGCCCCAAAGAAGCGCCTTGTTGAGTTTGCAGAAAGACTGAAAAGACTGGATGAGTTTCAATCTTCTGCTCCTCTGTTTGGGTACTTTTTTTGGGGGTTCTGAGAGAGAAAAGAAACGAGATTAACAGAACCAAAATTACCCATTTATTCACTGAATTAAACATTTCTTTTGGTCTTTGTTTGTTGAATAAGTTCTTGAGATTTTCGGAGAGAGAGTAGAAAGTGAAGTTGTAGGCAAAGAGTTGGGGGGTTTTTATGACAAGAGCTCAGGAAGAGCGGGAAAAGATCGTTAAGAATTAACCGTATTAGGGGTAAAACTGAAACTTGATAAATGAGTTGGGACTAGATGGATATTATATAATGATACATATTTGACGAAAAAATATTTTTGTTATGAATATTTTCGACTAATTAATATTTATTTAAAGTTATTTTAACATTAATCACATTATATTTTTCATATTACAATATTAAGTAACACTTATATACTTAATAATAGAAATTATGATAATAATTTTCATTGATACCCTTAAAACTGAAAATATAACGATATAAGACATGTTTAATATTGAATATTTTAAATTCAGTTCATTATAAACAACAATCGACTAACTATCATCACCATAAATTTGAGTCTTGGTGAAGTCCTCCTGAACCAGATTAATTGTTATTCGTAACGGGATTTTGATTAATATATATATATTTAGTCTGTGTTAATTATGTAAAATAATTTCTTATATTAATAAAGTATAGGAAATTAAAATATTTTAACTTCCAATAGAGTTTAAATGAAGAGATGGAAGGTTTCTCAATTCAAAGTTTTTTTTTTTTTTTAAGTGTAATTATGTAGATAAATTCACTTTTTTTTTTTCAAAAACACATAAAAATAAATGTCTGGGTATGTAAGGGTTTTTAAAAAAGAAAAATGTATAAGAGGACTATGTCGTAAAATATCGAATCGAGAAACGACAAGTCGTTTCACAGATATTGAGCAGCGATTAAGGCTCTCGCAGCACTTCCCATTACAGTGTCTAAAATCGTCAGAGAGGAAGAGGAAAATGGGAAGCGAAGGAAAGTCGAAGGAGAAGACGAAGAGCAGGAAGAGAAGCTCCTCTTCTGAATCTGAAGGTTTCAATTTTCTCAATTCACACCCTCTTTATTTATTTATTATAGTTGTTTGTATATTTTCTTATGGTAAATGTAACAGATGAAAGAAGAAGCAAGAGACATAGAAGCGATAAAAAAGACAAGGGAAAGGAGAAGAAACATCGCAAACATCGTTCTGATAAAGGTATTATTCTTTTTATTTGTTTTCAAAATTTGTGCTTTAAATTATTTTATTACTGTCTAGGTTAATTTTTGAACTGGGTACAGTTTGATTTTAAACTTTTATTTATTTATTTATTCATTTGCATGTGGGGTTGATTATTGTCTCTTCTTACCAACATTTGATACTTTGTTCAATGCTTTCTCCAGTTTAAGATGAAGTTTGAACTGGGGTTCAGTTTCTGTATCTCTATTTTGTTATGTTAGTCTCGATTCAGTATGTTTTGAGTAGTGTGATTTGGTTCTAAAGCTACTAGCAGTTCCTTGTGTTTAGTGGGTTTGATTTGATATCTATTGTTATTAGCTTGTCTGTTAGAGCTTATATATTGTTAATGGGCTTTAGCTACTCGTTTGATCTTTTGGGTCTAGTTATTACTTAACATGGTGTCAAGGTGTAGATCTGGGACGCAAATGTTGTGTAATATTTCCCCCAAGGTTTTATTTTGCGTTGGGAGGTCAGATGCTTGACATATTTATGATTATTGGCTCGAATGTAAAAAGTGAGTTATTGGTTTGAGAATAATATGTAAAAATTGTAGATTTTATTATCTGAAGCTGAAAAGATGCATATTTTTATCTCTTCTCCTTAGAAAAGCAGGGATGAATCATCTGCTTAAACAATGTTTTGACCAATGATGATGTTACTTTACAAGCAACTGGAGTTTATGATAGATATAGAAGTAATTCATTGTATTTTTGGGTTACTGTCTTATTATGGGTTGTGTTCTATGAGTGATGAGTTTATTGCTTCTGTGTGAACCATCTATTTGTTTATTATGATCCATTTTCTGAAGTATCATTATTGTTTTTTAGTGCTTTTAATGCTGAGAAGTAGAACCTTTCTAAATAGTTATGCTGTATTGACATGACACTTTGTCTCAGAAAAGAAGTCAAGGGACAAGCACAGAGATAAACATCAAAAAGGCAATCACCACTCTGTAAGTTCTATTATTCTCAAACTTGATTATGTTGTTATGTTTTGTAATAAATATTAAAAGGTTTATGGGGAAAAAATAATCAAAGACTTAAAAGAGAAATTATTTCCAAATATGATAAGTTAAGCAATCCTGATTTTCTATAGCATAACCTTCTTCTTCTTATAAATGATGCTTGTGATTGAAATTGAAAAAATTCAATTGATTTTGGAACAAACAATAGTTATTAGTTTAGTTGAAAGTCTAGTGGATAAGGTGAGTTTTGTATATTTTCTTTTCCATTGAGCAGAAGGGATAGGCATGTTTGTTGGGCTGATATTACTTTAATTTAATCCGTGCTCTGTGTCCTAATTTCTTGATATTTATGGACCTTTTTTTTTTTTTCCCTTCAGAAACATGAAATCCAACAGCTGACCAACGAGGATTACTTCTCTAAAAATAATGAGTTTGCTACCTGGTTAAAAGAAGAAAAGAAATTGTTCTTTTCTGATCTTTCATCCGAGTCTGCACGGGAATATTTCTCAGACTTTGTCAAGGTCTGGAACAAGAACAAGCTCGATTCCCAATACTATGAAGGCATTTCAAGTGCACCCCGGTCAGCCCATAACTGGAAATTCAAGTAATAGAATAGAAGAATGGCTGTATTTTGTCCTAGCTTGCTTTAGTACTTTCTCTTTGTGTATACTGATTTGCGGTGTTTTTTTTGGAATGAATGATATAAGAGTTTCTATGTGTTTCAGTTTCAGTTTCCTCTCTAGATAACTTATTCAGAGAATACAATCTAAGAATGAGTTCTGATTCAAATTAATGCTAAGATAGATGAGCAGTGCTTAGATCCCGGTTTTCTTTCTTATTTCTGTGTATCTCTGTCTTAATTCAGTGGCCAGATTTGGCACCTTCGGGAGATGAGCTTTACTGTTTCAGAATCCGTTGTTGATGGTAAATCCATGCATCATGTAACAAACATTTATATTAATATTTGAATATAAGGGTAAATAAGGCCAGTACTTATAAACTTCCGAAAGTTCAGGTGTGAAGATTTGAAAAAAACAAAAAAAACAAAAAAAAAAAAAATTTGGAAACATCTGCACAATGGAAGATAAGATGATATATAATTTAACGCAAGATTGTTACAAGTGCTGATAACTGAGGTTGCCATAGCATCGTGTATTCTTAATTTTGACTCTATTTTGCCCTTAATCTTTTATCAATCGGACTCATTTGCCATCATATGTCTACCAAATAACATTACTCAAACCCCTACATTTGAGAATTTAGATAAAAACCCAGTCACAAAAAAATTTAAAGTTAACAAATAGTCCTAGCCACCCAAGACCACTGCCAGCCACTAGCCACCACCGTTGGCCGCCGGAGAAGTCATCATATCGGCTCAAGACCAATGGAATCTTGCCAATCATGTGCCGGTAAGGACGTTTCCGCCATAGATTTGTATCCATGGCCAGAAACGACTATATCTGGTTGTTTCATGGCCAAAGATGTGGTCGTGAAACGCTATATCTAGCTGTAAAAAGGCCAGATCTTGGCCGTGAAATGGTCGCTGTTCACGGCCACATCTTTGGTAGTGAAATGACCATATTCATGGCCAGATCTAGCCATTTTTGGCCATGGATCAAAGATTCATGGCCAGATTAGGCCTTATCGGCGCACAACAAGCCAGATCCAACCGGTAGTATGCCATTACAATGGCTGTCGGCGGTGGTGGCTAGCTGCCATAGTGGTTTGGGATGAGTGATGGTGATTTTTTACAAATTAAAGTTTTATATGGCTAGGTGTTTGAGCAAAATTTCAAATATGGGGGTTAAAGAAATAATTTAAAAAATAATATTATATTATTATTTAACAAGGAGGCCAATTTGTAATCTATTAACATACTCACTATTTATCCTTCCACCTAAACATATTTATAACATAGTCACCAATTTATTCCAACCAAAACACACTTTCTCTAAAGATTCCCTAGTAATCTATCTTTTCCTCCCTAACCAAACACACCCTATAATTAATAAAACATTATATGATCTAACGCCCCCATATTGATACAATTCCAGGTAAAAATCTCATTATCAAAGCATTACTTAAATTAAACAGATAAAAAAAAAGTTGCAAATTATAGTTTTATTACTTTGTTTGGATTAACAAGTCAAGCCAATGATGACTCCAAATTTATGTAAAATTCATTATATTTTGTCAGGAACATAATATACTATTTTTTGAAATCAAAGGTTAAAAATTAAATAGAAATTTTGGATAGTAGTTATGACCATATACTAATTAACAGATTAACAAACTTGTATTTTCCTAATAATTTTTTCCTATAAATTAAGACCTAGAAACTTAGTTTTCTTCACATAATTGTCAATTATAATCCCCTCTTCCAGATTAATATCCCACGGCAAAATCTAACATGACGAGGTTGAAGGCAGTTCATTTTGCACTTGTTTTCATTGTCTTTGCAGCAATCTTTCCTCTTCATCAATGTAAGTCACAATGCTTCTCCTCGCTTCAAGTGTTTTAAATATTGGTTTCAAATAAATCCTACAAATTTTATTTTTTTTTCATTTGGTTTTGATTAATCAGGTTATGTTCAGGAACTTGTGAGCAAACAACGTATCAAGGTTTAGAAATGTGTGTTGCACAGCAAATGCCCGTTCTGTAGGATGCTTTCCCTCACAAAAGAATTGTTTATCTAGTTGCCGTGGGGCACCTCAGCCCCCAAAGGAGCCCCAAGTCTAGCCCCTCTTCCATTTCCACCCCGCAGTAATCCACCAGAGCACTATTAATCGGGCTGTCATGGATACATATTTGTTACTTTCCAAAATCCTTGAGCTTGTTTGATGCTTTTTCTTGAAGCACGACATGGTTTTTGTAATTCTCACATGAAAATGGAAGGTCTATATAACCTATAGTTCTTGGATAACCAACCCTCTTTCTTTTGGATCATACTATAGTATTCATAATGTTACTGGTTTATATTACATTCAATCCTGTTGTTAATGTATGTATGCATTTACCAATGTATGAAATCGACAAAATTTAAGGAATAATAATAATAACAATTTCCTTTATGAAATTATGATCGTACGTGTTTATATATTTATTTTAATTACGATGATTATAGTTTAAAATTTAATATTACTCAACACTCTCGAATCACATATCATAGGCTTTCAAGGTAAGTTTGATGACTAATTAACAATATTTGATTCACCTCCTTTGAAGGAAATTTTCTTACGCTAAAAACCTAGGAAGATTTTTATGTTTGACTGATTATTTTATCTACCCTAACTTATATGATATAGTTGTAGCTAATTTTGTTACATGCCTTGACAAGGATTAAAAAATTACTAAATTTAGAATTAAGGTTGAAATTTATAGAAATTTAGGATAGTTTTTGACAATGATTGATAAGCATTAAGAAAGTTGTCTTTCCCTAATAATTTTTGTTGTAAATAAAAACCTAAAAACTTTAATTTCTTATCTGTAATTGTCAATTCCATCTCTGGATAGATAGATAGATATCTATGGCAAAAACTAACATGAAAAGTGCTTGAAGGCAGCCCATTTGGCTCTTGTTTTCATTGTCTTCGAACAATCTTGCCTCTCATGAATGTAAGTTAACTCCTTTTTTTGCTCATCTTTTAGAAAGCATTATCACATTTCCGTTCCGTAAGATGCTTCCCCTCACAAAAACATTGTCTATCCAGCTGTCGTGGGGTTGTCAACCCGCAAAAAGAGCCCACAGTCAGCTCCTCTTCCAAATCCACCCCAAGCAGCCTGCCAAATGAGCAATAATCCAGCTGTCTGTGTGTATTTTTTACTTTCTGAAACCCTTGAGTTCGTTTGATGCCTTTCCCGAATCTTAAAGAGGTTTAGTTTTCTTATTCTCCCGGAAAAATGGAGGGCAATATTTCTACCATCGCCCTCTTTCGCCTCAAAATTGTGGATCATATTATATACCAGTGATGTTATCGATACCACCACAATATTGTTAACTATTTTTAATTCCTATAGTTATAAGATTTGTTTAACTCTTTATTTTTATAAAGATTTGTTTTACTCCTTCGATTATTTATAAATGTTTGTTTCACATGTTAATTTTTCTGGGAAAATTTATTAATTGAGTATGGAGGGAATTTCTGCCTGGAAAATTTCATTACAGTTCTAACTTCCAGAATCAACATTATAACCACAAACAGAGCTCAATCCCAAATCCTGCTTATTTTGTGTGCAAATGAGCCTGTCGTTCAACTAAAGCAGAACTACATATAAATATTCAGCTGAATAATAATGAAAAGAGATCTCTAAGAGTTTATGGTGGTGAGGTTCTGAAACTACCAGGAATATTCAGCAGGCAAGGACACTTAATCCTGACCTGACCTTGAGATCCTGACAGGACTCCAAGGTTTGACATCTTAACCATGCCCTGGCAAAGTCTTCTGAGATTGTTCCATCGCCTGAGCGTAATACTTTACATGGGTTGCAGTTTTCTCTCAGCCATCAATTGCTGACAGCAAAGAGTAGTCCTCTCCCTCTCAGCAAGCTCCGAAAATAGTGTGCGTCAAAATCTGAGCCGGATGAAATTGCAGAATCATTAGGCTGCTGCTGCCGTGGTTGGCCTGGCAATTCAGTCTCAGTTCATTCAGAAAATCGGCAGCAATAGTTCGATCTGGTTGACCTGTCCCCAAAGTTGTAGAGGCGGTCTTGAATGAACTGACAGCAATTTTTCCGATGTTGTGGCCCACAATAGCAATAGCAAAGTAAAAATTTACTTCAAGCAATGACGTTTATGACAGACGAGATAATGGAAAACTTAAAAGGTGTACCTAAAAGACTGACTGTTTCTCTTTCATTGAAGCCTCTGAGAGAGAACAGGTGAAGTGTCCGGAAAGATTGCCATCTGGTTTTGGGATCTCATCCATAGCTTCCTGAAAGTATGATTCACTACTGTCTCTCCTGCCTGTAACACTGGATAGTATGGACCACCTGCTGTGATTTTTAGATACAAAACAATACATCAGGGAGCTGAAATATAAATAAATATTACCACATTTGATCAGTTATATATTTATGATTGTAAGAAGAATCGAAATTTCAAAACACAATCTAGCCATGATAAGCTTGGTTCAGTCAGTTCTAGCAAGAAGACCAAGCAGTAGATAACTAATTTCTTCTCTACAACAAAACCATGCAGAAAGCAAATTATGCAAACCTAAACTTAACTATAGCCAAAATCCTGTGGCCTGAAAACTTATCAAATCAACAAAGTAAGAGCTAGCATTGAATTATACCAGAATAATGCCATCTCTTGTGGCAAGTGCTAGCGGTCAGCACAAGAAACCACCCTGGACACGCCTTTCAACTCTGCCTTAATCAGATCAATTTTATCAAAACCTTTCAGGTGCTATGGGGAGCCGCCCGCCTCTCATGAATGGTTTCGTATTGCCATTGCGTCATCCAAGAACAATGAAGCATCACAGCCCTGGTTCAAGAAAACCCCTCAAAATTAGAACAATTTCCTTATCTAAAAGCTCTAGCAAGCTACAAAGTGTAAATCAACTGATCACCACCAGGCATAACAAAAACTTATAATTCCATATGGGATCAGAATTATATTACAATCACAACAACCACAAAATGAAAGAAAGAAGTGCAATAAACACATCAAGTACTAAATTCACAAACTTACAACTAAGCCAAACAACATCATACCAAGATTGAATCAAA